ATGATTGAAATTAGTTTTATTTTTAATATTTTAATTAATGGGTAGAAATGATTCATCTAGCTAAATGTATGTTAAATGGCCATAGATCAATTTTAATAAATATTGATTATGAATATTTTCTATAGTAATAGTTGGTGATATATATATATATATATATATATATATATATATATATATATATATATATATATATATATATATATATATATATATATATATATATATATATATAATTTCTATGTCTCTAAATTTTAAAAGTGTAGAAAATCGAACTGTAATGAGAAAAATCCAAGATCAACAATTTAAAATCTATTCGTCGAGTAGCGGATAAGAAGGAGAAAATTGAACCGTAATCAGAGAAATAAAAAATAGAATTCCGCAAGAACAATCATTCAAAATCTATTTGTCTCTAGTGGTGGGAAGAAGAAAATCGAACTGTAACCAGAGAAATCTAATTCAACTATGTTCTCCACGCTTCCTAAATATTTGTAACAGAAGTAGTGATTAACACTTGCATTGTTTTGATTATTGTCTTGTTCTATTCGGCAGTACTTGAAACCATTTTTTAAGGTACAAAATTATAAGTTTCTCCATTTTTCTGATGTTTGTCACTCGTAACTGGAATTGGACACACATAAATCTTTTTACTATAAATATATTTACATGATATTATGATATAAAAATATTGTATTACAATCATGAAAGGAAAACTTTTACACACATACATCTTTTTATTCTTCATAAAACACAGCAACAATGGTATTTGAAAACCCATTCAACGCATCCTTATCTTTCTAGTTATTTAGGTTAAAAGTGCAATTCTTTATGTTAAATAGGTTAAAAGTGCAATTCTTTATGTTAAATAGGTTGTAGCTCGACACAAGGTGTGTTTTTATGTTAAATAGGTTGTAGCTCGACACAAGGTGTGTTTTGTGTTGAAGCAGGTTGTTGTTTGATACAACGTATGTCGAAATTAGTCTGTGTCGAAATGTGTCGAGTTGTGTTAGTCGTCGAAGTGTCGAAGCGGGTTATTTTCTACAGATTTCGATTTAAGTCTAAAATACGTATTTTTGGCTTTTGTGTTTTGAGTTTTGACTTAGAGAACAAACTAATCTAAAATTATAAATAGAGGAAGTAACTTTTATTTTTGTAATCAACTCAGAAAGAGTATTCACAAAATTTGCAGTTACATGTGAATAAATATTTTTCATAGTTTGTCGGCAGAGAGAAACTCTGCAGAAACCCTAATATCTTTTCTTCTTTAATTTTCTTTTCTTTTTATTACTATTGTGTGGTGATAACAATATTGTTCATCAAGATTGATAGAAATTTATCATAGTTTTTGGTGGATTTTCAACATCTGGTATCAAGAGCTCCGGTTGAGTGATTCAAGGCAAGGAAGAACAATGACAATGAATCATCTGAATGAGCATTTTTTAACAAATATTCTGATTCTTAAAGCTGATAACTATGAGAATTGGTGCAAGCAGATGAAGGTTGTGTTTTGTTATCAAGATCTTTGGATCTTGTGAAACATGAATTATAACTTGAAGAAGACGCTTAAGAAGAAGAAGAGGCGGAATATAAAGATTCGAAGAAGAAGAAGAATTATAAAGCTCTCTTTATAATTCATCAATATCTGAGTTCAGACAATTTCGAAAAAGTTAGTGATGTAGAATCTGCAAAAGAAGCCTGGGAGATTCTTAAGAAATTTTTTGGAGGTGCCGAAAAGGTGAAAGAGGCGAGGTTACAAACTCACAAACGAATGTATGAATTGCTTCAGATGGAAGATAACGAGAGCATGTCTGATTTCTTCACTAGGGTTACGAAACTAGTGAATCAAATCAAGATTTGTGGAGAGACGTTAACAACAAGAGTTATTTTTTCAAAGATCTTGAGATCTTTAGCTCCAAAGTTTGACCATGTGGTAGTTTTCATAGAAGAGTCGAAAAACATGTCAACTTTTTCGAAGGAAGAGATTTAAGGAACGTTTGAATCTCATGAACAAAGAATGGTTGAAAGAGCTGTAGGCAAGTCGAAGAGTGATGTGGTTTTGCAAGCACATTCAGCAAGAGAAAGTAAAGACAAAAGTAAGTGGTTCGACAGAGGTAGAGGTGGTTATAACAATTCGACTGGTAGAGAAAACCAACAGGAAGTAATTGTGTCGAATCAGAGAAGACCCTCATACCAAGGCAACCAAAGAGGTTGTGCTGGAGGTAGAAGAAAAGGTGGTGGTCAAAAACCTAACAAGAATCACATTCAGTGTTATAATTGTCAGAAGTATGATCATTATTCTAGTGATTATTTAGAAAAGAGAAAGAATCAAGAAAGTGATGCAAAGTTCGCAAAGTATGAAGAAGAAAAGATGATGTTGATGGTCACAACAAGAGATGAAGAGAAATTAAAGGACAAATGATACTTGGATTCAGGATGCTCATCACATATATGTCTTAAAGGAAATATTGATTTGTCAACATAAAACCCTCGATGAAGAACATGGTGAAATTTGTAAATGACAATACTCTAACAGCTGAAGGTATTGATGATGTTCTGATTATGAGGAAAGATGGCAAGAGGTCAGTAATTTCCAATGTGTTATACATATCAGGCATAAAGAGCAACTTGCTAAGCATATGGCAGTTGGTCAAAAATAATTATAAAGTATCGATCGAATACAAGATGATGAAAGTCGTCGACGCAAGAGAAAGGTTAATCTTGAAGGCTCCTATGTCCTAGAATAGAACATTCAAGATTGAACTAAATATGGTGAAGCATAAATGTCTACCAACTACAGCTAACAGAGATGAGTGAATATGACATTATCGGCTTGGTCATCTTAACTCCGAGACATCAGAGAGTTGGAGAGAAGAAATATGATTTCAGAATTTCCAGAAATCGACATTTCAAACAAGGTGTGTGAGGAATGTGTGCAGGCGAAGCAACACAAGAATAGCTTCAGCAGGGATGCAGGAAGCAAGTCGAAGGATATTCCCGAAATTATATACATTAATGTATACGGACCAATCTAGGTGAATTTGAATGGAGGTAATAAGTATTTTGTCACATTCATAGATGGTTTCAGTTGAAAACTGTGGACTTACATGATCAAGAAGAAAACTGAAGTGATGGAGGTATTTTCCAAATTTAAGTCTATGGTCGAAAGGCAAAGTGGTCGAAAGGCAAAGTGATCGAAAGCTCAAAGTTTTGAGAACTCATGGTTGTGGCGAAAGGATTTCTTCAGAAAGAAGGAATTGACTTTGATGAAGTTTTTGCACCTGTGGCTAGAATCGAAATAATCAGGTTGATTGTTGATCTAGCAGAAATGAACAGTTGACACATATGATAGATGAACGTGAAATGTTCATTCCTGAATGGACCCTTAGACGAAGAAGTTCATGTTACACAACTAGTTGAATTTGTGAAGCATGGCGAAGAGAGAAAGGTGCACATGCTGCATAAAGTCCTGTATGGATTGAAACAAGCTCCAAGAGCTTGGAATAAGAAAATAAATAATTTTGTAAGGGAGAAGAAATTTGTGAAGTGCACAACTGAACATGGTGTATATGTAAGAAGAGGAAATAGTGAATTTCTTATATTATGTCTCTATGTCAATGACTTGTTAATAACAGGTAGCTGCAAGAAAGAGATTTAAGACTTCAAAGGTGACCTCAGTCAGGAATTCATAAATTTCAGATCTGGGTGACATTTTACATTTCTTTAGCATCGAATTCTACAAGAGTAGTAGAGGTTTGATAATGCATCAAAAAAGATATGCAGGAGAAATTCTCAAGAGATTTGAGATGGAAGAATGCAACTCGACTTCGACACCTACAAAACCAAGACTGCAACTGTTGAAATATTAAGAAGAAGATGATGTCGACTCAACCCAATACAGGAGACTTATTGGGTCATTAAGATACCTTTGTCACACAAGGCCTGACTTAACATACACTGCAGATATGGTAAGTAAATTCATGCATAAGTCAAATGTATCACATCTAGCAGCAACAAAGAAGATACTAAAATATCTCAAAGGAATTTTCGACTATGACATTTTTTTTCCTGGAAATAATAAAGGAAAAGAATACAAGTTAGTGGGATACACTGATTCAAGTTGGTGTAGTGATACTGAGGATTAAAATTTCCACAGCGGGATATGTGTTTATGCTAGGTGATGCACCTATTGCTTGGAGTTCGAGAAAAAAACCAGTAGTGGCATTATCATCGTGCGAAGCAGAGTACATAACTGCTTCTCTTTGTGCATGTCAAGCAACATGGATGGTGAATTTGGTCGAAAACATGTCAGCTATCAACCTGGCGAAGAATTTGATAGCACATGGTCGAAGTAAGCACATCGTAATGAGGTTCCATTATCTTCGAGAATGGATAGCAGATGGGAATATGAACTTAGAACACTACAGAACTGAGAGTCAGATTGCAGACATAGTGACGAAGGGTGTGCATGTCGAAGTATTTAGAAGACTAAGAGTTATGATGAATATAGATAGTTTAGACACAATCAATTAGGCGGTGTGTTGAAAGTGTAATTTCTTGTGTCGAAGCAAGTTATTGCTCGACACATGGTGTGTCGAAGCAGGTTGTTGCTCGACACAAGGTGTGTCGAAATTAATCTATGTCAAAGTGTGTCGAGTTGTATTAGCCGTCGAAGTGTCGAAGCAGGTTGCTTCGCACTGATTTTCGATTTAGGTCTAAAATAAGTGTTTTCGGCTTTAGCTTAGAGAGCAAGTTAATCTAAAACTATAAAAAGAGGGAGTAATTCTTATTTTTGTAATCAACTCAGAAAGAGTATTCACATAATTTACAGTTGCAAGTGAATAAAGATTTTTCCACAGTTTGTAGATAGAGAGAAACTCTGCAGAAACCCTAATTTTTCTCTCTTTAATTTTCTTTTCTTTTCATTGTTGTTGTGTAGTGATAACAATCTTGTTTATCGAGATTGATAGAAATTCATCATAATTTTTAGTGGATTTCCAACAATTTCATCCTCCAGTATCTGATTTGGCAAACCCAGTACAAATTCCTGTAAGAGCAACGTGCTTGAAGATCCAATGCTCTTTTCCTTCATGAGGAGCAATGCTCATCATAAAATGCTCAGTCATATGCTCCATATATAGAAATCCAAGTTTCTTTAAGGGTTGAATGTTATTTGGTACCGTCTCAAGTCTAGGAAACAAGACTAAGTGAAGCTTTCTTAGAGAAGGTAATGCACCTTCATCAATAAGAATGTAATTCAAGTACAGCAAATCTACAAGAGTTAGTTCCTTCAAATTCTTAAACCATCCATCTTGAAAATGTAAGCTTTTGCCTATATAAGCATTGTCGCAGAGATAGAGGGATAACAAGATTTTGAAGCTTTGGTTAGGATCCATTCGGGCAACTTCCATAATATTTTGTCGAGTCTAAGATATCGAAGCAAAGGTGGGGTGAATTCAAATGCAGATCAGTGATAATTGTGCTCTTTTCTTTTCCGCCAATATATAGTTCCTCCAGTTGTTGCATCTCGTTGATTGAAGAAGATAGAACACTCATATATGTATTTCTAACACCAGACAAACCCAATTCCCTTAGTTGCTTCAACTTTCCCAGCTCTTGGATTAGCTCTACTACTCTGTTATCATCTTCGTCTTTATTAAATACCCTTCTGCAACTTCTTCTAAAGTCAGTCCCTTATCCTCTTTCACAAATCCTTCAGCTATCCATTGTCTAATCAGTCTTTTTGACGTAGTCTTCAGGGAACATTCCAAAATATAACAAACATTGCTTAAGATTGTAAGGCAAATCATGGTAACTAAGAGCTAAAATCCGATTTATCCCAGAATCTTTATCTAACTCTGAATTCACATGTTTACTAAACCTATCCCATTCAAATTTAGTTCTATCTTTCTGAGACAAAAGACCACAAATGACTACAATGGCTAGTGGGAATCCTTCACATTTTTCAATAAGTTTGGAAGATATATCCATAAGATTTTCAGGACAACATCCGTCCAAATCATGGAATGCTTTCTGATTGAACAACTTTAAAGAAAAGCCAATATTTAAACTTTTCAGCTGAAGCACTTCAACAAAAGAAGATGTCTTACAAGCATTTGCAACATCCATATTCCTTGTTGTGATTAATACCTTAGAGCCATTTTTTTATCAATCACGACCAATTTAATATAATCCCAAAAATTTATTTTCCATACATCATCAAACACGACAATGTACCTTTTTTCAGCAAGTAGTTTCTCACTTCTTCAACTAATGACATTCGATCCATTTGATGAATACGTTGATCAGGATCGAGTCTCTGTAGTTTGTAAAACTGGCACAAAATGTCCCCTAATCATGTTGACTGCTTCCTTTAATAATGGAAGTAAGTGTTCACAAGCACAGGAGAGTGCAGTGTCAACATTTTGTTGTATGTATCTTTGATTTTGATTTGCTAATATTGTGAGAGAAATGAGTGATGATGAAATCAGCTATTGGTGCTTCAAGATTTATGATCTAAGAATAAAAAATACAATAATGTAATTAGAAATAAGTGATATTATGCTTATCTATTGATGGACAATTAAAAGTTGTGATTGAGCCAACTTGATTTGATGAAGCAAATCATGCAACTTGGCCAAGCCTAGACTTTTGAAATAGATTCAGCAGAACTCTAAATTGATCCTGAATCATAGGTGAGGATGGAATTGGCTTTGTCTCTCGTGTTCAATGACCATGGAGGATATCTTGTTAATTGGAGGTAAAAAAAGATCATTAAAATGATCACAGACTTAACAACAACACAATTATCATTTTAAGTTTTTAATGCTGGAAAAAGGATATATGGATTGGTGGGTCAATTACACCCATCGCCGAGGATCTTGGGCATGAGCAAAATAAACTTAAGGGTTAATAAATATTTTGTTCTTTGTCATATATGAGCGAATTTTGACGATGAGGAGATACCGGCATAAAACTTTGTCCAATCACATCCTCATATCTAGAGCGGTTAAAATTGGCTAGTTCATATGGGTTGACCCGTCTGGTCCGAAAAATTAGTGTTTGGGTCTTCTCACATGATTATTGATTTTTTTCACTTTCCTCAATGTTATGCTTCCAAGACTACCTATTATAAACTGAATGGCGACGACTTTATGACGAATAATCACTTAATATTAGGAGTTTTAGGATTTAAAAAGAAGCTTACGTCTTTAGTTTAGGGATCTCAATTTGTTATAGAACTCACTGATAATCCTATATTGCATTTTACTTGTAATCTTAGAACAACAACCTTTGTATTTCTAGTTTTCTTTGCAATTCCAAGTTTTTTATTGCTTATGTGTTTTTATCATCATTCTTCTTTATTTATGCTATCGTTTACATTTATTATTATGTATCCTTTATCATTACCATGAGTGAGTAGAATTTTATAGTCTTGTGATTACGAGGACTTCCTAAAGAAAAAGAAGGAGAAGATTGACCAAGGGCAAGAGAATCCAATGTCATGAATGTAAAGGTTTTGATCATATTCAGGCTGAATGTCCAAATTTTCATAGAAAATAGAAAAAAGACTGTAATGCCACTTTCTTCGATAATTCGTCAAATGAAGAAAGTGATGTGATTAAGCAAACATTATGGTGGTGTTCAATACTCGCATAAGACCAAATTCATAAGTGCCTAATGATAATGGTGATACGTAGTGATGGTGAATTAGTTGATATTGCCCTTGCTGAAGCCTACAAGATATTGAATCACAAATGGACTAAAGAATCTCAAAGTAATTGAAAAACAAAATAATCTGCCATTATGATATGAATAAGAATTAGTTTCTTCCTAGAATAAGAGTTTCTTCCTAAAATAAGGGAAACAAATCAGAAATTGATTTATTCTCGTTAAGTGTAATTAATTAGTGTAATTACCTGTATATCCCTGTAACCTCTTGATCGCTTCAGTTTGTTGTTCATCGTGTCTCGTTCGATCGATCACCGTGGAATTCGTATCGTGCAGATTGCCATCGTGATTCTGGATTTAGGGCTTCGGTTTGCTTCGGTTGATTTGCGATCCTTACATGAATAATGATTCTAGGTCGTGACTGGTTTTTTTTTCGGATGCGATTTTGATTTGTTTTGGTTCTTGGTTGGTGATTCTGAATCTCAATAGTTCTTCCGCTCCTTCCAAATTGAGGTTTTGAATTTTGTTGCTACGTACTATGCCCGGGGGTTGCCCTCTTCTTGGAGAGTACTGTACGTGAAATTTATTTTTTTGTTGTTGATTGTAGGTTGTTATTATAATAATAACAATTATTATAATAATAATTATTATTATTATTATAATAAATACATTAATTAGTGAGGTTGAATTCAATTACATAATAATTTATGACTTCCGAAACAGAAAAAGATATCTTTTGTGTTCGTTTCACCGATAAAAATTATTTTGCTTGGAAATTTTAATTCAAGATGCATGTTAGAGGAAAGGGATTATGGAGTCACTTAGATGGTGTTTCTAAGGCTCCGACCGATAAAACTGCTTTAGATGTATGGGAAACTCAAGATGCTCAAATCATCACTTAGATTCTCAACAATATTGATCCTCAAATGATAAACAATTTGCGTTCCTTTTCTACTGCTCAAGAAAAATGGAATTATTTGAAGTGCATTTACAACCAAGACAATTCGGCAAATCATTTGCAGTTGGAGCTAGACATAGCTAACTACAAACAATGTTCGGGTTTTTTGAATCTCTGGACAAAACACTCTGCTATTATACATGTTAATGTTCTCAAAACCCCTCTCGCGGTTGTTCAAGAGGTCTACAACACAAGTAGGAGAGATCAATTTCTCATGAAACTTCGTCCAAAATTTGAGGTTGTCAGAGGTGTTTTGCTCAATAGGAATCTTATTCCTTCTTTGGATACTTGTGTCAGTGAACTTCTAAGGGAGGAACAACGTCTACTTATTCAAGGAACCATGTCCCATGATGTTGTCAGTTCTGAACCTGTGGCAATTGCATATGCTGCTTAAAGTAGAGGAAAGGGTCGTGATATACGACAAGTCCAATGTTTTTCTTGCAAACAATTTGGACATTTTACTCGCAACTGCAGTAAGAAGTTTTGCAACTATTACAAACAACATGGTCATATCATCTCTGACCCTCCCACACGTCCTCCCCAACCAGCATAACGTCCAGCTCAAGCATTTCGTGCCACTACCAATTCCGCAGTTGGTCCTCTTAGTACTCATGCATCTACTAGTGATGTTCTACAACCTAAAATAATTCAACAAATGGTACTTTCTTCTCTTTCAGACTTGGGAATTCAGGGTAAATCTTCTAATGCTTCTCAACCATGGTTTCTTGATTCTGGTGCATCCAATCACATGACAGATTCCTCTGAATACTTGCAAAATTTACATTCCTATAATGATAATCAGCAAATTCAAATTGTTGATGGTAATAAACTCTCTATCACTGATGTTGGTGACATAAACTTTAACTTTCGTGACGTGATTGTATCACCCGGACTTGCTTCCAACTTATTGTCGGTTAATCAATTGGTGGATAACAATTATAATATTTATTTTTTTTCGTGTTGGTTGTCTTGTGCAGTAGTAGGTGTCGTGGAAGATGATCGCTAAGGGGCCTAAAGTGGGAAGATTGTTTCTGCTCCAGTATAGTTTGAGTCGTTTATCTTTTGCATGTAATATTGTTTTGAACTCTTATGAGTATTGACATAGAAAATTGGGTCATCCAAATTCGGTTGTTTTGTCTCATTTATTTAAAACTGGGTTGTTGGGAAATAAACATGCTTGTACTGCTTCTATTTCATGTTCTGTTTGCAAATTGGCTAACATTAAAAGACTTCCTTTTTTGTTAGGTGCTCATCGTGCTTCTACTTGTTTTGAGATGATTCATAATGATGTTGTAGGGAATGTCTCTTACAGCATCTTGTGACACCCCAAATAAATACGATTATTAAATAATTAGAATTTTTAATTATTAATTTAATTAGAAATTTAATTATTGGTATTTTTGGATTATTGGAATTAATTTAATTAATTAAAGGAAAAAAGTATTGGTGGTGTGAAGAGTGATTAGAGGGTGTGAGGGGTAAAATACTCTACTCTTACTAATTACTAATTTAATTATTTTATTGGAATAATAAAAGGAGTATTAAAAGGAAAAAGAAGAGAAAGAGAGTTATTTTGGAATATTCATCATATGTGTATTTGAGAAAGGAAAAAGAAGGAGAAAATCGGAAGCGTCAGAATTCGAAGAACCCACAAGGTAAGGGGTGATTTCGATTAGTTAATTCGTATTATCGGTTTAGATATTCAATAGTATGGATCATAGTATGTTAGGGAATCCCGATTTGGAATTCTAGGGTTCCGTAGAATTGTCCCTATTGCGTCGAATTGTAGGTTGAAAACCATTAGGGTATCAGATGATAAAAAGGAATGATGAAATAATGTTGTTTGATGTTATAATGGTGCAAAATGGATGTATTTTGGTGTTTCTCATGTTGTAATTCGTATGGGTATGTTTGGAATTGGTTTAGAATGAATAAATGCTATCAAAAGTGCAGAATTTGACTCTGCAGGTCGTGGGAACCGGTTCCCAGTGGGGAGGAACCGGGTTCCACTGTGTGAATTTATAAAAACTGGCAAAAATGCACGTAGGATCCGGTTCCTGTATAGGTAGGAACCGGGTTCCCATACATTTTTCCAGAAGCGTGATTTTTGAACTTCGCAGGAACCGGTTCCTGCATATGTAGGAACCGGGTTCTGCTCTAACTTTTTGAAAAATATTAAACTTTGAAAATTCATAACTTTTAAACCGTAAGTCCGTTTTGAGTGCCGTTTTGGACGTTATTTCTTAAATTTAATACTCTATTTTATAAAATGAAAAGATTTCCTAAAATCTGAAATTATTTTGAAAATGAGTCAAATCCCGGAATAAGTGATTATTGGCTAACGCACATGGGTGTGTATGTAGCAGTGAACCTGTGATGGATGGATGTATTAGTATTGTGTGAATGAAAGGCATGTTTATGTTGCTAATGATGGTGTGCATGATCGTTGAGATATCATGTTTTTGGTTTTGGTCCAGTTATGATAAATTGATGTATTTCA